GAATTCATTACAAAACAAATGAAATGGAGTTTATATTCAGTAGTGATTTGCAACTCTTGGAACCCATCGTATTGGATGTCAAACAGGGTTTTATACCTATTGTTTGCGCCTAAACTCGGAACCAATTGTCTGAATGACACCAACTCTTGATCCAAAACCAAAACCACTTTAAAAATCATTTGATTTTTATAGTTATAGCTGTCGTGAGAGCGTCCCCTCCAAGAAGGCCAGTCTTTTGTACGCATTGCGCGTCCTTTCCGTCCCTTCTTTGGGATCAGTTGTGGCGAAGAGTCGTTCAAATTCATCGCTTCGTTAACATTCGCTGAAGTGCTGACCGATTGGTCGGTATGTTGTTTGCGATCAACCAGTGATGGCCCGCTCGGCGTTACGTCACTCTCACAGGTATTGTCGGTGTTGACGAAGACGTGTCCCGTTTGTGATCCGCTGGTCGTCGCGATGAAAGACTGGTCGATGGCTTCGCTTTCGTTTGGATTCAATTGTGATTTCACATCAGTTTCTTTGCTTTCAATATGTGTAGAAACTGTGGCCGAATTGGACTCCAAACTGGGATTAGTTGTCGGTGTCGTCGAAGAGTCATCGGTGGTCACCACTAATGTCTCATCTCTTGAATCGCTTATCTCGTTGTCGTTGTCACCGGTTGTGGAAGTGTTGCGATTCTGTCCTTTCAATCGTTTAGTACATGAAGAGCCCATCTCTTCGTTATCGTTGTGTTTCTCTGCAAAGACTGTGAGGAATAGGTCTGAAGACAATGTTTTGGTTGAAGACAAATAGCCGTTAAATTATTTAAAAACAAATTAACAAATAATTAATTGAAATATTTTGCATTCAATTTGAAATCACTTAATAATAGTCTAAATAACGAGACATTCATTGCAATGAATTCTCATTGAATTAACAAAAGTATCGCAAATCTATTCATTGTTTCGATTGCTTTCACAACTGATTTCAATGCAATCAATGGTTATATGCCTTAAATCAGTGAATCTGTCATTCATTGGCAAACATTGGTTCACAAAACTATACATTACTTTACTTTTTGTATTTGATTTCATTTACTGTTCAGTGAATCTAAAAGAAAGTCAAGCATTGTTTCATTGGTTTCACGAAACCAAATGTGTTTCAAAAGTTTCACAAACTTTTAGTGCAGTTTATAAAAGACTTCATAAAACTTCATAAAACAGTCCGAAGATTTTGAAGTTTCTAATGAATCCATAAATGAGTGATTCATTGAAACATTCATTTCATTCTCTAAAACATAATTGTAATCAATAATTATCAATGTTTTACAAATTCTTGAAATAAATATCTGTTTTTCTGTCATATAATTTAAAACCAAATTAAAGTAAAAACACATTTCTATTTAATACTTTATTTAGTTAAAACTTCATAAATTGAACTTGACACTTCTGGAGTAAATTGAATTCTGAAGTAATTAACGCTATATATCAATAAAACTTCAATCAAATAAATAATTACATATTTATTGTTATATATTATCTCTAAAACAATTCAAATAATTGAATCATTCATTAAATAAATACAAATATAGATATAATTTTGTGTTTTGTATGAAACGAATCACGGAATTAGTGGCCAATCATTTGATGGTCAAAATGGCAATAAAACTCACAACAAATACATTATCAAATCAATTGTCTGTTTATTGTTAACTATTATTAATGGCGTTATTAGTGATGAGTTGTTTGAGTTTCTTGACTACAGTATCGCTTTTACTCTTCTTCTCTCTTTCATTCTTCGTGAGCGACGAGAAGATAGTCTTCTTCTTCTCGCCTTCTCTCAGCTTTTCTAATAGCGTGAGAGCTGTGGAGGGATTGACGCGAAGATAACGGGACTCCTGTTTGCCGTAATCGGCGAAATAGACACTCCAAGAGTCCATTTCGGTGAACAGATCCATGAGTTGTCGCAATTGAGCGAAACTCATGTGAAGAGTTCCCTCTTCGAAGCCGCCGACGGGTTCACTGCTGGCGAAGAGTTCGCATTGAATCAGATCCAGATTGAACTGCTGGAGGAAACCCCACGAAACGCACTTCACGTCGTCGTCCATCAGAAAGTGGAGCAGAGCTGAGGCCATGTGATCGCACGCCGACTGACACGCCGTTTGGGCCACTTTGAGGGGCAGATTAGTGAACGCCTCGAACGTACTCTTGAGGAATGCGATCAAATCGGACACATAGGGAGAGGCCATTCCCGGCGACTCCACTAACATCCAGTCATAATTGGCTAACTCTAAGAACTCGTCCATCTTGTCGTTGAGCCGCTCGTAGATCATCGACTCGGCGTCCGAACGGATGTCCTTAAACATAGTGCGGCCCTGAAGTCGGGCCAAATGTGACGAGTCGTTCAGACTGTTGGGCGACGTGACGGACGCCATCGACGACTGAATGATCGTTTTGGTGATAAAGCTCTCCAAATAGACGGACGAGTCCTCCAAGTAGTTGGTGTTGATTGTGATTNTATTCAGGTCTTCGCTGAACATAAGACACGCGATTATGAATTGTTTCACTTCTTTATAGATTTTTGGCACAAATAACGAAAACGGAAAGCGTTTGGGAAACTCAGCGGACGACTGATTATTAGCCGCCACTTCTGTCTCATAGTATGGAAAGTCACTCAACACTTCCATATACTCGGACTGACTGTTCACTTGTATGGGATGATAGGTGTCGGCGTCGAAGATGGCCTTAAACACGTCCACCCATTGTTTCATAAGCAACTCGTCGTACTTCTTGCGCGTCTCGACCAATAGGTTGACGAGTAGTGAGACGTTATAGCCGTAACTCTGGAGCGTATAACTGAAGAGCATAACCAAGTGTTTGATTTTGAGCATCAGCTGTCCGTCTTCGCATTGGGCACAGTGTGTGCCCATCGACACGATCACCGTCTGCAGCGCCGTCTCCCACACCTCATCCAAATAGTCTTTGGTCACGAGACCAGTGGATGTGTTCATTATGTGGTCTTCTATGACGAAGAAGCCCGCGATTCGACACATGTAGGCGTTGTAGTCGTCGATTGTCGGCCTCTTCGGGATCGGCGACTGAAGCGCCAGTTTTGCCTGTTTTACGCGTTGCTCGCGATAGTCCCTCTCGAACTGTTCCCGAGCGCCCAGACAGCCGAAGATATGCAGACACCGATACACTGGCGAGAAGTCCACCAAATCGGTGGCACTTAACTCCTCTTCGCTGCCCGTATTGTTGGCGTCCGACTCCGTGTGTGTGGACTCCGAGTCTTCGGTGTCGTCGCCGAAGGGTTGGGCGGCGGCGGCGCTCTTCGCTTCTGGGGTTTCGGTTTCCTATCGTTGTTGTGAACGCCGTTTGTTGTGACCGATATTGTTGTGACTCCAGTGGCAGTGCTGGTGATGGCCGACGACAGGGCCGACGAGTCCACGTTCTGCTGGTGTGCGACCGCTTTCATCGCCATTTCGCCGATTCTGACCGACAGATTCACAATCTTCTCCAAGAAGTCCGTCAAATCGGTCTTCGACTCGGTTTGGATCTGTTCCCGAATCTGCGGTATTTTGGCGCACATACTCTGCGCGAACCGGTATTTAGACACTCGCGGCAAATACGTCGACTCCAGCTGTTCCAGCGTCTTGAGGGCCGGATAGTACTTCTTCTCGTCCATCTGTGACTCCAACTTGGAGTACATGTCGAGCACTGGGAGGCACTGCTGGAGGTGTTCGATGGCGAGCGACGTGTTGGACACCACCCGACGGTATTTGATCAGCTCTTCGGCTTTGCGTAACACGTTTTCGCTGCTCTTCTGGAGCTCCTGATTGGTGGCGATGATCTCTTCGCGCAGCTGTTTGGCCTGCGGTCGCACCTGCAGCAGCTCATGGATGCAGTCGACGAACCCCTGATAATGACAATTACACATCCTTTCGATGTCTTTGTCCACCAAAAACTAGGCTCGCAGGTTAAACAGGTATTTGAAGACCACAAGCAGCGGCAGCATATAGCGAGACGTTATTCTGTTAGCCGTTTCTGTAATCACAGTGCCTACATTACCGTTTAGTTTCACAGTTCAATGAGATAATCAATGGATAGGTATCTGTGGAGGGGAAGTTCTAGACCTCAAGACATTGGCCACAGTACTGGTGTCTGAAGATAACCAAGAGTAACTAATAATCGCAATATACAGTAATACAATATAATAAACTTCGGTATAATTAAACATTAAAACACGTAATAATTGATGTGAAATAATTAAATTATAGCCCATATTAACAGGAATTGTTATAAACACTATTGAAAGCCCAATGAAAAGTATTGCCAAAAGTGTATATTCTGTGTTCCGTAGGGTTTCCTAAGCAACGAATGGGAATTAAATTAATTATTAGTAATTTGATTCCTATTATTCCGCCGATTAATTAACAGAGAATGGGTTTTAAAACCCAATCGTTAAATAATAAACTATTAGGTCATTTGACAATCATCAGGCCTAACTGCTTTCTAGTGTAGATAGAATTATGAAAATTGTATCATAATTTATGTTAACATATATAACCTCTAGAAACCAAGTTTCATAAAATTCGCATCAATAGTTATGGCACAGGAATACTTTATATGACACCTGCCAAAATAATGTATTCCTATGGGAGAGTAGCTATTTCGGCATTTATTGACGTGTGATTTTAGACTAAAATTGATCATGCTTAAACAATAATAGAGATAATACAAAACAGTTACTCTTCTGAAATCTCCCATATTTAATGAATCTAATGGTATGCTATTCAATGGCCAACATTGACCGATACCCCAGCTGTGACCAAATCTTTATCGGCAGTCAACCCGATTGGCGGCCTGTGTTCGGTCGGTTCGCATTTAATTTCCATTATAGATAATGTCATGAAATCTTCTTAAAACTATTGTCGGATAACTAATTGTGAATCTCAATAACCAAATAATCACTTTAAACATGTATTTTGTAAAAATATTTTAACTTTAAAAATGTAAT